ATAAATATATATATATATAAATATATATATACAGAGTATAAATATATATTATATACAGATTTTAAAGAGACACCGCCTATGTACCAGGGAGGAGCTGGCCCGCCTCCTGTGTGGCCGGTGGGAGCCGAGGGGCAGGGACCACCTCCACCACCGCCGACCCTCCGTCCTCCGTCCTCCAGCCCCCGTGCCCTTGCTGGCCGTTCTGGGCTCTGAGAAGGGAAGTGTTGTTGAGCCCAAGTGATGCCTGTGAAGAGAAGTCCCAGGGGCATGGCTTACGGTGCTTCGTTCCCTCATCCCCTTTTGATTTGTTTCCAAAATTAAAGGGACTCTTCTTCCCTGCCCCACGCTTCCGCAGGCGTTCCCTTGGGAACGAGGAAGCATCAAAGACAGCAGCACCATCTACGCTCTCCCTGTGAGCCCCCCGCCCCCCATGGACTGCAGGCCACGTGGAGAGGGCTGCTGGGCAGCTTGCAGGCTGTGCCTGTGGCTTGGATTTCGTGGCTGCGGGCTCCGGAGGCCTTGCGTTTGGAAGGATGCTCTCCTCCATCACCCGCACTGCCTCCAGCTGTGCAGGGTGTGCACCCAATAAGGGCTGGGAACGCCCTCCCTCCCCGCCCCCGCCCGTCTCCCCGCACTTCTCCCAGGCTGGGTCTGGGCGAAGTGTCCCTTTTTAGTGCCTAAAACCCTCGTTTTCCTCTGTGCCCCAGAGCACATCGCCCTCGGCCGGGGTGGAGTTTCGTCTTGTTAAGTCTGTTGTCATGGTTCAAGCGCGTCAGGTCTGTGGCTCTGTCTTCCCTTCGTGCTGTCAGTTTTCTGTCCGGGAGAGTCGGGGTGTTGTCGGACCTCCGGGTGTGAGGGGCGAGTGCCCGGCGTGCAGGTTGCAGACCTCGGCAGAGATGCCGCGTGATGGAGAGCACCCGTGCCAGCGGCCTCTGCTGCCCGTGGACACCCCGCTTGCTCAGGGAGACAGCGTCTGAGGCGCCTGGCACGTGAAGACAGACGCCCTGGGAGGGAACGGGTTTGTGCATCTGGGTGTGAAAAGCCTGATGGAGTCTCTCCGCCCAAGGGGCCGCCCCCATGCCCGTTCTCCTTCCCTGGTGTCTGTCCCAGGGGGCTGCTGTCACCGGGAGTGGAGAGGAGGCCGCGGGCCAGGACCGTCCGTGCTCCAGGCCTTTTCGGGGAGGACCGTGCACGTGCCTGACTGGGACCCACCTGGACACGCCTGTCGCCCTTCATGCACTAACTGCTACTTCTCCACCAACAAGGCCCCGCCAGCCCAGGGAGGGCGCAGCGCGTGGGCCACAGCCAGGCAAGGAGGGCTCTCCAGGGCTGTGGAGGCGCCCCGCGTGCCGGGCCCCGGAAAGGAACTGTCCCGGTCCGCCCAGAAGGCAGCCCGTGTCCCTCTCCCACAAAGGCCTGAGCATCTCACCCGACAATGAAAGGTGGCTGGCGTTTCAGCCTGAGACCATAGCCTTGTTATTGCACACAGGCAGGATGAGAAGACGGAGCTGTGCGAGCCCAGGTCACCCCCGGGGGAGCAGGAGAAGGCGGCGTGGGACCCGCTTCCCTTAGGCGTCCGTGGAGGGTCACAGGCCAGGGGCCACTGGTCACTCTTGCCCAGGACTGAACGGGACACCTGTGAGCAGCACGACTGCTGCAAACTGTCCACCGGGGTAGCCAGTGGCCAATCAGTCCCAGAAACTTAAAAGCAAAGATGGTAAATCTCTAATTTGTCCCACGCACGTTTGGTTTGTTTTTAAACCTTGCCGTTACGAGGGTTCCTGGGGCCCTTTCGTAGGACGCATCGGGGTCTCGACTGGGCCGGTGCTGGCAGGGCCTGGCTACACAGCCCTGTGCGCTCCCACTTCTCAGGCTGTCCCAGGGAAGAGCGGGTGGCGGAGGGAGCGAGGCTCGCTGGGGATTGGGGCCCAGGACGCAGAGTGTGCACACCACCATCTCCCGTGGGTGCTCTCTGTTCTAACGGTTTTCTGATTTTAAACCGCGAGAACACCAACCGCCCCGCCCAGTCTCGCTCAGTAACCGGTGAAGAGAAGGCACCACCGTGCAGGCGGTCTGGGCGAGAAACGCAGCAGCACTGGCACCGGCCAGCAGCCCGGCTCGGAGGCTGGAGGGCACATGGGAACATCACCTCCCACGTTCTCTCTCCGGCCATGCTGGCCGGACTGCTCCGCCTGTCTGCTAGGATCCAGCGGCAAACATCTTGGAGCCGTGCTCACCGTCAAATGTTTCGCGACGTTCGTAGAGTCTGCACCTCCCTCCAGCTTACATGGAGGAGCTCACAAGATCGGCCTTGGAGAAGCCAGTCCTGTCTGAGAGCCGTGCTCACCGTCAAATGTTTCTCGACGTTCGTAGAGTCTGCACCTCCCTCCAGCTCACAAGATCGGCCTTGGAGAAGCCAGTCCTGTCTACAGCTCCTCGCCTTCCCCGCCGGCCGCCCTGGGAAAGGGGACCACCTCCCGGCCAGCAAGATGGGCAGCGTGGAGTCTGAAGGCCACTGAGCTGAGAGCCCGGAGGCCGGAGGCCTGGCTGAGTCCTGGCTCCGCCTCTCTGAGCTTCGGTGTCCCGGGGGCAGGGCTGGCCTAGACCACCGCTGACGGGGCTCTGCTTTGGCGCTGTCGGGAGGGACATCGGAGGCTGGCGAGGCTGGGCGTTCTTGGACTTGGAAGGGTCCTTTCGGGCTAGAGTCCCCCTGGTGTTCAGGGGAGCGGCAGGGCAGTGTCTGGGCTCTGGGAAACCCAGGGTAGCTGAGCTTCCTTTCTGATGAGCTGGGCGGATTAGGGAGACTTGGGGGACGGGGAGGCAGAGCGCAGAGGCCCCGCAAGCTCAGTGTTACCGTCAGTGGTGTTGCTTCCTTTGTTGGCACCTTCCTCCTCCTCGCTGGAGGATACAGTGGAGAGAAGCCATTCGGTTCTTGCACTTCTCTCGGCTCATCCCAAACCCTGTTGGGGCGGATGAAGCGTGAAGCTTTGGCGAAGAGCCATGGGTCGAAGAAATAGCTCTCTCCTCTGGTCCCCCAGGTGGCGGGCTGTGGTCTCGCTCACCGCTCCCCACTCCCCTAATGCTCTGACCCTACCTGCCACCAGTTCAGATCCTGAGCACCTCTCTTCCCAGCGCGCTCCTCCCCACCCCTCGCCTCTGGGCTGTGGGACCATCATGCCATCCACCACTGGACATCTTGACCTCATTCCCAACCTGCCGCAGGCTGGTCCCACTCTCCACTCTTGTTTTCTCCCAGAAGATGCGCCTCAGGTCCGAGCGGCGTTTCTCTGGAAGGCCATCTCTCCCGCCCCTGCTCTCCTGAGGGAGCAGGCATGTGCACAGATGTAGCAAGCTCCCCTCCCACCTCTGCCCAGCCTCCTTACCTCACTGCTGCCCCGGCTGTGGCTGAGGGCTGGCCAGCTCCCCGGTTGGTGTTCTGTGGGACAGTCAGGGGCGTGGGCGCTGCTTTCTGTGTGACTTGAGGCCTCGGCAGGCCTGGGAGGCGGAGGGGGCCATGGCTGCTGGCGAGAGGAGCTGGTGCCAGGTGATCGCCGACAAGTGGAGGCCTAGAGAGCATGGCTGTCTGCCCTGGGCCCTCCTTGCCCCTGAGCACGGTGAGACCCTGCAAAAGCCAGCTGGTGGCCACTGCTCCAGGCAGGACAGCGCGGTGTCGAGAGCGGGCCCTGGCGTGGGACCACGTGCTGAGATTGCGTAGTAAAAGCAACTTTTTGCCAACAGTGGTGTGTGGCTCCATGCATTTTTCTTCCCACACTCTAGGGCCAGACTGCTCTGCATGGACCTGGTCATCTTCCCAAACCCATGGTGCTTCCCCCCAACCCCACCCCAGCTTCCAGGACCCCACTCAACCTAGATCCCACGGCGGGAGGGATAGGCAGAGGCTGTGGCCCCGGACTGTGCTGACACAGGGTGCAGTGGGGTGAGGGAGAGGGAGGAGCCAGCACCGCGCTGGGCCAGGTCGGGGAAGGCCAGGGCGCTGGCAGCCGAGTTGTCTGGCCGCCTGTACTTGGGTCTGTGACTGTACTTTGCCTGGCGCTGTGCGCAAGGTCTGAAAACTTACTCTGCTCGTACGGAAACATACAAGGCTGCCCAGCCGAACCTTACTGTAAAGTAGCTAGAGCCATGGAAGTACTGTATGAATTAAAAAGTATTGAACTGCAAACACTAAATGCCGTGTGTGCGTATTGCTTGCTTCGCTCGTGCTCAATGTCCCAAATGGTTTTGGTCTTCCCAGAGGTGGTCAGGCCCAGATCTGTGTGCGGGCAACATGCACATATCACACTTACACACAGGCACAGCCATCCACCCGGCTTCTGGGACTTGCTTCCCAGGGTAGGGAGGCGCCTGACAAGGTGGAATAGGAAGTTTGGGAATCAGACCTGAGTACAAATGGCATCATCCCTGCTTGCCAGCTGTGTCACCTTGGGCCCGTCATCACTCCGAGCCTCGGATTTTTAGGGATAATATATGTGTGTGTGTGAGTACAGTGGCTGGTACCGTACTAAGAACATTTTTTATCTCCCTGTGAAGCAGTACTTTGAGATGCAGGAGACTGTGGTGGACTGAATCCTGATGACAGTTTCTTGAGTGTTTCCCTTTTGGGGCCTCGGCGCCTCCAGGAAGATGGGCACTGGGCGGCGGCTGGGCACCGTTGCCTTGCTAGGTGCATGTGGGGAGTGCGGCCCGCCCTCACTGGGTCCTCCTCGCACTCAGCCCTCTGCCACCTGGCAGGAAGCTTATTTGACATCAGGCAGGTGAGGACACACGTGGCTTGGATTCCTTCGCATTTGGGTGGGGAAGGAAGGGAAGGGAGAGGCCAGTCCCACATTGCCACGTGTTTAATTCTGGAAACTGCCTTTCCTGCTCTCGGGGCATATGGCCCCTGGTGGTGAGTTAAGGAATGGGCGCAGGCTGGGGCGGGATGCAGATCCCATGGATACATCACACACACATCTGGACTACTTACTCGCAGAGTAAAACCAGGGCAGGCAGTGTTGAGAGCCACTTTATTGACATGAACGGGGAGCTCACTGGGAAACGCTACAGAACAGCCACTAGGCTGTGGAAAGCGTGGGTGGTCAGGAAAACACTGGCTGTGGGAAATCGAGAAAAAGCCACGTGAAGGTGACAGTGTGTAGAGTTCCATCAGTTGCAGGACTGAGTTTGCTGACTGTGTTCGATGGTGTTTCACAAACCGAGCACCCGTTCTGCAGTCTCCCCATCGCGCACACCCCCAACGGTGCGCGGGAGGACGAGAGTATTGCTGGCGCAGGCTTCGCTGGCTGTGACAGGGATTGACTGTCATCTACAAGACAGACTTGCGTAAGGTGCTTATCCACTGGGCCCTACTATGAACTCAAGTAAGCGGGGAGCTGAGCACGCGTTACCTACCACAGTAGACTTTCAGAGATTAGCAAAGTCTTGGATGAGAATTTTTTCGGACCTACGACCATGGGGCACAGTGAGGGTCTGCATTGGTGCTAGACACGGTGGGTGCCAAGGTATAGAATGAATGGATGATGGGAGCAGTGAGCACACCGCATGCTGTTCCCATAGGCCTGCAGTGACCAGGTGAGCTCGCTGCACTAGGGATCTCATTTACAAAAGGTGGGGAAGGAGGCTTTGTTCGGTGTTCTCTCTTCTCCATTCCTGTGTGAATTTGAGAAAGGGGAACGAGATAGCGTATCTGAAGGGGGTCTCGCTCTTGCTGCTGTTTCTGCAAAGCAGCGGTTACGGTTGCGTAGCCTTGCCCTCTGGTTCACTCAGGTGGGCGCACAGATCGCGAGATGGCTGGGTCTTCCTTTTCCGTCTAGTCGGTTGGGGGAGGAGCTATGTCTCATAGCCATTCACTGCTCTGAACATATTTCCAGCATATTCCTGCTTTGAAAAATTTCTTTCTGCCCGACCAGCGTGGCTCAGTGGTTGAGCGTTGACCTATCAACCAGGAGGTCACGGTTCGATTCCTAGTCAGGGCACATGCCCGGGTTGTAGGCTCGATCCCCAGTGTGGGGCATGCAGGAGGCAGCTGATCAATGATTCTCTCTCATCACTGATGTATCTATCTCCCTCTCCCCTCCTCTCTGAAATCAATTTTTTTTAAAGAAAAATTCCTTTCCTACTAGCATTTCTAGTTTGGCATCTAAGGAAACCAGAAAGTCAGAGAATCAGAAATCTGGGTGTGTGAATGTTTAGGGATAGAAAGACGATAAAGAACGATGCTTTTAAACAGACTGGACATGAGGGCTGTGTGGGGACAGGCACTGACTGGGAAGTCCTTCCACACAGGAGCTGGGCTGTGATGCACAGGACAGAGCTAACAGTAAAGGTCAAGGTCAGTGGGTCAAGGTGCTTAGGGAGCCAGGTGAGTTGTGCAATCAAGTTCATGGCTGTTAAGCAGCAGGAAAGGGAAAATGAGACCCAGCCTTGAGTGAACTGCGTTGCTGAGGACCAGTCATGGGAGACAGCCAGCACCAAGGCCCCAGGCTGGGCTCCTGAAGCGGTAATAGCCCTTGACAACATCTCCAAGCCCTTTAGCAGGAGCCGCGTGCACACACGCTCCAGAGCGATGCCCACTCCGCCTGGGCCTGTGGGAACGTGGGAGAGACGGCGGCGGGACCTGAAGGAGGCTGGTGATCACAGTACCCGCAGGCTCATAGTCACGCTCAGGTCTCCCGGGAGGAGGGGAACTGCAGTTCAGGAGACATAGTGACACACACACTGACTAGAAAGGTAAAAGCAAAGTGAGGTGGACTCCTCACGCACACGTCCGGCATCTGCGGGAAGCTAAGTGGAGGAGGAGCCGTCGTGGGGTTGAGGGTGAGGGGACTGCAGGAGAGGCCGAGATGAGGCGGAAGTGAGCAGATGAGAGGGGAGGAGGCAGCTGTGAGCTCAGTGGAGAGAACTGGGTTCCAGCTCCCCCTTTCCAGCTGTGTGAGCTGAGGGTGTGACAACGCCTTGGCTTTGGCCTCAGTCTCTCCACTTACAACAGGAGCCTTAGTGATATTTACCTCGCAGGGCTCGTTGTGGAGAAGGAAGAGGTAATTGCAAGGACGATGCGTTGTAAACCATATAGGTGCTCGCTGGGCGTGGGGCGGAGGGGTTATGAGGGCGGGATGGCGTGGCGGCGGGAGGTGGAGGGCATACATGTCAATAGGATCGTGAACATGTTGTGTGACTTTTAAAAGCCATTCAAATTGCTGAGTGTCTCCCAAGTCCCTTGTGCTTGGCTTCTGGAAGGACTGAGACCAGCGGGGCCTTAGAGACCTGGGTTCTAGCCCTGGAGAACCGAGCCCCAGGGAACATCTTCGTCCTCCAGCAGGAACTCCCGTCGCCGTTGAACCCAGAAAAGCATGCCTGGCTCTGGCGCTCTGGTCAAGGGGGTCGAGGCCTCGGAAACACTGGCTTCAAGAAATTCCACCCCATGACACTCATTTGCTTTCCTCTGCTGGTCACCTGGCTTCCGTCCACAAAGACAGCCCTTCACGTGTAGCAGTCAGCGGGCATGAGCCAGTTCCAGTGACGGGCAGAGGCTGTGCTGCCTCCACACGTGTTCACAGTCGCTCGGGGCCCAGGGGAGCAGTCCAGTGGGCGTGGCTGCTGCTGCGCAAACGCTAGGCGGGGTGAGGGCGTCTGTGGAGAGATGTTGGCTCCTCAGCTCGGGCAGAGTCTGATGGTGTGTAGAGGTCGGATGGAGTTAGGAGGCCAGAGGGGAGGGGGGCGGTGTGGCCTCCGGGGCACCTCCTGGTGCTGTGACATCACTGAACCTGGGCTCCCGGTCCCTGTGTTCAGGTCACCTGTCACTGGCAGCACAGCTCACTGAGGAGGCCCCGCCCAGCAGCACAGGCTCTGACCAGACGCACATCCTTACAAGGAGGGACTGGGAGAACTACTCTGCCTGCGTCACTACGGGGAAGGAGTTCCAGTTGCCCCAACACTCAGCCAAAGCAATTCCCTTCTGAAGGGCTTGACATTAAGTTGTGAGTCGGGCATCAACTTAAAGCAGTATCCTGAGGGCGGGACTTGGGTAGGGTACAAAGTAATCCAAGGGCCCGAGTTTAAAGTCGCTGTACTATCTGCCATCCTTATCCACCTTCCCTCCTGTTTCCTGTACATCACCTCGAGCCGCACCCCTTCTACTCCTCTACGGGCACCACCGAGTTCTCCTTGTTCTCTGATGGGATGGCCAGGTAGTCGGACCTGTAGGAGGACAAATGGGGGAAGAGAATCAGTACTTTTGTACCCAGAGGTGAGAATGCAAGAAGAGGGAAGGAGCAAGGATGCCCACAGCCCAGCTCTGCATGTCCTTCTGGCTGTGTTTCCCAACAGGAAGCGAGAAGGCCCTTCCAGTGGACCAGAACAACAGCAGTTTTTGTTTGTTATCTGCTCTCCCAGCAATCTTACTCATCCACACTGCTCTCAGGACTTAGTGTTGTTAGATTAAAATGTTGGCCAAACTGATGGGTGTGGAATTATATCTTAGAGTTGCTTTAATTTTCACTTCCTTGATCACTGGTGAAGTGGAATGTCCTATATAATAAAAGCCTAATAGGCGGGTCATTACCAAGGCTTTTAGAATGCAGTTTCTCATTTGCCGTGGACATGACCACAAAACATTTCCCCAATAGGTTTTTTTTCTGCTATGTTGGTAGCATAGCATTCAGCCTACTGGGAACATTTTAGGAAAAAAAAAAAAAAAAGCCTAATAGGCAAATCGACTGAACGGCGGAATGACTGTTGGGGGGAAGGGGTGCAGCAAGAGGGTGGTGCCAGGCCAGCCAAGGCAGGTGCCAGCAGGCAGAGGGAGGGGACGGTGATCGGGAGGCAGCGGCGGGTCAATCGGGGGGCGGGGCC